CCTCTATAATGTCTCTTGCGTGTCTCTATTACTCCCTGGTCTAACGACTGAATTAAGCTCATGACATTCGTTGACAAAAATCTAACAATTATCACTATTTTGTAGATTTTGAGGGTGAGTTGGCACATTGTCAACAAGCAACAATGCTTTGATGGGAAGGTTTTTTGATTTAAAAAGGATTTTACACTTGGGACGAATTCATTTTCCAACCATTCTGAAAATAAATTGGTCGACATCCATGAGCTTTTTTGGCTTCTATAAAAAACTGGAAGTGTTTTTTGGGAAATATCTCTCAGAGCTCTTGGTTTTTTTAATTTTTCAACACACATAGGCATCAATCGGTGAGTGGAATAAATGGAATTGTTTACATTTTCCGATAAAAATTTATTTTTTGTTGAAGAAATTATTGAAAGTGTCAGCCGTTTCGGTTAAGTATTGCTTTGCTATTCAATTACGAAAAATAGCCAGGAACTTTCAAGTATTTATGTCTGTACCCTGGAGATAAAGTCCCCCGGAGATAAATGTCCATTTTGTTACTTTTTCAGAAGAGCAGTTTTAACATTTTTTAAATTTGTAATCAGTAAATACTTAAATGTTTCTTATATTTAACCAAGATTAATATATATATATATTATTATTGTTCTGTGTATAATCGTTTCTCTTTCCATGAAATGTTATAAAGCTGAAGTTTATCATTCATTATATAAATCTTTTTAAAATGTGTAGTTGGACATAGTGTTGTTTACCTCTAACAACTTTTTTAATTAATGTGACATTGAATGTTAAGGTCTCCACGAAATAAATAAGACAAACACATTAAACAGCCTATACTGGCTAGAGAAAAGTAGAGAAAAATATTATAATGTTATAATAATTATTTAAAATTACAGAGGAAAAGTCTCAAAATTGTTCAAAGGCTCCATATTATCTTCTTGGTGGTAATCGTTTTTGGCTACATCGCCATCTGTTAAATTTTTATAAAACGCATGACAAACTGACGGATGAAAAAGCAACAGTGCAATTAAGTCATTTTACTTTTGTTTTGTCATTGGTAATAGGATTACTTTGACTTAATTTAATTGGGCTGGAAACGTTACTACCTGTAAGTCCACCACATACAAATTTTGATTATTGAAATCGGTCTTATAAAAGAGCTTTCCAATGTGTTCTTGTTGGAATTGTAGGAAACACATGTTGACAGTAGAATGGGTTTTTTGTTAATATTCGTTTTTCTACTTACAATAGGACGACTAGGTGACAGTTTCTTATTTAACAACGTTTTGAAATTTTTGAAATCTGCAAGTTCCTGCCCTGTCTATTTACCTGATGTTTGTCTAACAGGCTGTTGCCAGTCCCATGATGTTAAAATGGCCAAATTGGAGTGTTTCTTTCTTTTTCTCTCGATCAAAGCATGAGCACTGTCTGCTTTTATGTGTGTGTGGTCTTTAAGTAAAAAATTTTGAGTGATTGTTGCAATATCCAAAAATAGCACATTATAATACTTATATTTTTATTTTTTCCATAGTAGTTATCAGTCCAAAGAGTGATGTCCTCTACTTCACTACCTGTAACTGTATTGTCAGCCCATTTCAAAATTGACAAGGCAATTTCTTTTGCACCACGGACCCCTTTCGATTCGTCCCACATCATACATGTTACAGAAGAATCACTGGCATCATTAAATGTAAAATTTAATATCCAAAGCTTCCTTTTGTAGAAACTAATACAATTGCTTGTTAGTGGTGAAGGCCAACATTTTCGCAAATTACCAAATAGTAGGTACTTTGTGCTTTGGTTACTCTTTAGCTCTTATAAAGTCCAATTGTTTTAAGTTATACAGAGTTTTAGATTCAATTAGGTGAGCATCATGATCAGCCTGTACACTGGTTAGTTCAACTACAGTAAAATTATTTTCAATTGAGCGGTGAATGTACCTACTGCATGTATCGCAAGTGTCTATTTCGCATAGTTTAAACGATTCTTCTTCTTCTTCTTACGGTGCCTATCCGTTCCGGATGTTGGCGATCAACATGGCTATCCTAACTTTGCTTGCTGCTATTCTGAATAGTCCGGTTGTCGATGTATTAAACCACTTTCTCAGGTTTTGAAGCCAAGTTATTCTTCTTATCCCTGGTCCTCTCTTTCCAAATACCTTGCCCTGAAGAATAAGTTGCAACAAGCCGTATCTCTGTTCATTCCTCATAACATGACCAAGATATTCTAGTTTGCGCTCTTTGATGGTGTTAATAATCTCGCATTCCTTGCCTATTCTACGTAAGACCTCAACATTAGTCACACGATCCACCCATGAAATTCTTAATATACGTTTGTAACTCCACATCTCGAATGCCTCGAGTTTTCTTAAGGAAGCTTCGGAAAGTGTCCAGGCCTCTACTGCGTATAATAAGGTAGAAAATACATAGCATCTAATGAGAGAGATTTTGGTAGCAAGTGGTAAATCATGACTTCTGAAAAGAGACTTCATCATTATGAACGCTGATCTCGCGTTTCCTATGCGTTATTTTATTTTACTGGAGTGATCCCATTGGCTGTTAATGTTGGTACCAAGAAATGTGTAGCTGTAGCAAAGCTGCGTATTTAATATTTCGCGCTTACTGACTACCATGTATTTGTTTTCTTCGTATTAAGATAAAGTCCGTGCTCTCTACTTATATATGATATACGCGACATTATTCTTTGCAAACCTTCCAGACTATCTGCAAAAACTACTGCGTCGTCGGCATATCTAATGTTGTTTAGACGCATTCCGTTGACTAATACGCCTTCTTGTAGTTCTCTCAGCGCTTGCTCGAAGATATATTCAGAGTATATATTAAATAACACCGGTGACAGAATGCATCCTTGCCTCACTCCTCTATCTATGGAGACTGCCTCTGTCAATTGATCATCCAGTTTAATATTGGCTGGTTGGTTGTAATATAAATTATAGATGATTCTCAAGTCCCTATCATCTAACCCCACTTCTTCAAGATGTTTATAAGTTTATCATGTTTTAATCTATCAAATGCCTTTTTGTAGTCGATAAAACAAATATACACATCGCAGTTAACATCCCTGCATCTTTGCATAAGCACTTGAAGAGCGAATAGAGCCTCTCGGGTGCCTAAGGAATCGCGGAATCCAAACTGTGTCCATGATACTTGTTCTTCGCATTTTTTATATATTCTGCCGTGTATCACTTTCAAGAACGTTTTAAGTAAGTGGCTCATTAGGCTAATTATTCTGTAGTCTTCGCATGTCTTTTCATTTACTTTTTTTGGTATGGTCACGAAGGTCGAATTTAACCAGCTTGGGGTATTTTTCCAGTTACGTATGTGTTGTTGAATACAGTTGTTATCCATTTTATTCCCTGTTCATCCATAAGTTTAAGGAATTCTGCACAAAACTCGTCAGGCCCTACCGCTTTACCATCTTTAGTTCTTTTAATAAACGTATCGTTTAAACGATAACTTGAAGTATTTCAGAAAAATATCTGCGTACATCCACTTTTTTGCTCTTAGCTTTGGATCCACATATCTTTTATTTATCAATGTACAGTTGATATATCTTTTTTATGGTAAGTTCTGTGCCGAGATAATTTCTCTTGCTCCTTTCTTTGGAATAATGACTCTCGTACTTTGGTATGCTACATACTATTTATGGTTAAAAACGTAACTTTGCACACCTTCAATCGCTGATAGTTTACTGTTAAATTGTAGTGTAGCGTACTATTGTTAGATTTGGTAGAGTTTTGGTTTCTTTTTCTTGATCGTTTGAGTAGGTTGGATGTCGACGCAAGATAAATTGCTTTTTAGCATTTGAAGCGTTTGTCTCAGGCCAGTATAAGTCAAAGATGTTGTGTCTTTTGCATTTTGACTTCTGGCAATCTTTCAGAGCATTTCTAGTAACTTCATTATGTTTATTGGAATTGATCACTGCTTAGGAATAAATCGTCATTAAGAAATTTTTTTGTTATTGCCCCACTAGTCGTAGGAGTAGTAATATCTTTCTCTTTTACCTTTGTTTTCCCTGGATTACCTATACGTCTCATATCATTGTCGTGAAATTCTGAGCTTTCAGCACTTAGAGACTCATAGATTTTATCAATATCCAAATCATCATCTTCAATCAAATTGTCATAAGAATATACAATATGTAAAAAGAATATACAATACTACATATTTAACGTTAACAAAATACTAAATCAGTGTTATTAAACAATAGGTTACCTTAATTACTATTAAACTGGGAATAAGCCACAATTAAAGATAAAAATACGTTTATTGACGTTTCAATTTCCACTTCGGAAATCGTTCTCAAAATACAAACAGTTTGTATTTAAAAACAAAATTTACTGTTTGTAAATTGTGTGTAAAGTGGAAATTGAAACGTCAATAAACGTATTTTTATCTTTAATTGAGGCTTATTCCCAGTTTAATAGTAATTAATTCACAATGCCACAAGAAAATAGCTTCAGAACATTAATAGGTTACCTGTAGTTGTTGTTTCATTAGGAATATTATACGACAGTAATTATATACAATTACCTTTTTTCTAACGTTTAATTCCTTTCACGTCTTCTTTGTTAGTGTTGCCTTACAACTTTTTATGAACTTGGCAATCTTAAATTCTTCATTCCTCAATTTACAGTTACCAATCTAATTTATGTATGAGAAGATCCCCATGATATCTCAGGCTAGTGTTGAGTCCACTGCTAGATAGTCTTCATTAGACTGCTTTACTGGGCTATGTCTTGAGCTGATCTTATCCTGTGTTTTTTACTCTCTTTATATCATGAGCTTTGGCTACTCACGTTGCTCCTAGTCGTCTTTGAATCTCACAACATATCCTGTGTATTTCCATTTTAGTATTATAATTCGTTGTATTATATCTTGTACTACAACTAAAATATTAAATATAATAGTTCTCTTACTCTGTAGCCTATCGCCGGCCAATTGGTACTCAAGATTGAACACGATTCTAGAATAAATTTTTTTTTAGATGGAGAAAATTCGGATGACGATGATTATTCAGCCAGTGCTAATGCCATCATACAAAGAACAGCATCTACGCGAAAATCTAAACGAAAACCTAGAAGATCCAGTTCACCTTTTACACCAGATATCCTACCTAACGCAGAGGGTGCTGCAAGAAGAGCTTCAGTGTTTACCAATTCATCGGGAGAGTAAGTTTGCTTAAAATAGATTTAAAATTGGTTTTGAAATTATTTACTAAGGTTCCTTTCTTTATTAAAGAAAATTATGATATATTTAGACATCATATTATTTTTATTCAAATGTAACAGTATAAAAACAAAAAAAAAATGGAAAAAACGCGATAATAAGTGACTTTTTGGATCATAGAATTCATTTTTTCCTTGAATACTAAATTATTTTGTCCAGGCGCGAGAAATTTGAGAAATTTGATCTAAAAGTAAGTCGAACAAAGCTAAATTTTGCTTAGAATATCAATTATAGGGCCCCCAAAAAGATGCTAAAAAGTTTACTGCTCCTACCCCATGGCTTCCTTTGAATTCCTTTTCGTAGGGGGGAACGGAAAACATAGATTGATCAAGAATATGTACTGCATAGAAAACAATATTTCAAATAAGAAATGCATTTGAGATCTTGAAGACAAATGTTAATTAGCAGTCTTTCTGTAAAATGAACAGTTCTCTCAGAAACAACGCTTAAGGCGACTGGCAATTTTGAATGTCAGTTAAGTGCGTGAAATCAATTTTAAATCAAATTTGTATCAACTTGACGGTAAAACTTCGATATCTTTTGATCAGAGTGTCGTATCAACAACAGTTCAAATGCGTTTTATAGGTGAAGAGTGTAGCTTTCGTATATGATTTTTGTATTGTCCTGAAAATGAAGTCAGTTTCTATAAACTTGGTAAATAAATAAACGTTGTGCGATTTTTGCCATTTTTTACGAATTTTGTATCTGGTATGATAACAAGTTAAACTGGTTATTTTAACTAATACCTTAGAGTAACACGAATTTGTCAGATAGAAATCTTCTCCCCAGATTCAGTAGCGGTTCACATATTTCTGGTGCCATAACGTCTACAGGCGTACTTCCCAAGTATCCAATACTGAATTGAAGACATTTGTTTATTATTTGTTTATTTATTTTTATAAGATTTGTTTCTGCAGCTAAATGATAAAATAAAGATCCGTAACCTAAAATAGAGTTAACGAGTGTTCTATAGAATAATAACATTATTTTTGGATCCCTTCCCCAGTAGGAAAGTTTTTAGTAAATTAACACTGTTTTCTGTTCTTTTGATTATATAATTTATGTGTTCTTTCTAATTTAAAGGATTTAGAACATAATTTATGTGAAAATTTGTATTTAAATATTGTCACACAAGCTAACCTAGAATCTTAGCTAGTGGCAGTGATGTTATATTAGTAACTTTTCTTTTTCGCTGTTGACCTTCTCTACTTGTCAGATGTTGTCAGAGGATGAAAGTTTTGGAAACAAAAACCCCTTTAAAGCGTGTTTTAATTAGGATATTGCGGGGTTTGAAGTATAACAGTCTCACAAACATGTCCATTTACATAGAGGGAATGTGAATAATATGTTATATGAATTTAACTAAATATTGGAAGAGAGAGTTTTGTCGTTAAATCTCCCAATTCTACAGCTTAATTGTTAAGGTGTATGTTTGTACGATATGCCCCAACATTATTATACCTTGGCATTTATATCCCTTGAAATTCGCTGTCCGTTCATTGCTGTCATTAACAGTGATCCTTTTCTCCTCATTCTAAGTCGATGTAAATCATTTCCAACGTCATTTCAGTCAATCCCTGATATATTCTTCGACCAAGGTGACTTAAAAACTAACATTTTATTATCTACAAAAATGTTAAATAAGAACAACTAAATTAGTTATGTATTACATTCTATATTAAATTTTATAAAATATAAAAAATTTTACCTAATTTTGATTTAATGTTGTAGTACTGCTATTACAATGGATGAAAACATAGCAGCTGAAGCGACACAGGAAGAAATATTTGAAAATATTAAATTGCATAAAGAAGTGCTCAGTAATGTAAGAATGCAACCTTGGAACATGAGAAAAAAGTTGAAGTTGGTTATCCAGGCTAAAGCATATATCAAGAAACATGAAGGAGTCCTACAAGAGCGTTTAGCTCAAAGTCGATCTACTAAAGATTGGTTAGCAAGATGGCGTATTCTATTAATAAAGGTAAATCGTTATTCCTATTGCAGTTGGTTACTATTACATTACTAGAGATTATATTGGTCTTCTTCTTACGGTGCCTTATCCTTAAGGTCGTTGGCTATTACATTTGCCCATTTAATCTTATTTGTAGCAGCCCTGAATAGTTCTATGGAGGTCATGTTCGTCCATTGCCGAATGTTTTCAAGCCAAGAGTTGCGTCTTCTTCCTGGTCCTCTTTTGCTATTGACTTTGCCTTCGATTATAAGTTGGAGCAGTTCATACTTTTGATAGATGATACATTCTTATGATGTAACCAAAATATTGTGTTTTCCGTTCTTTTATTATAAGCATAAGCTCTCTTTCCTTATTCATCCTCCACAAGACTTCCGCATTTAGGATATTCTCCTACATGGCTCATGTAGGATATTCTGAGCATTTTACGGTAACACCAGAGTTCAAATGCTTGGATTCTTTTTTGTGTTGCTCCTGTCATTGTCCAGGCTTTAACACCATAGAGCAAGGTGGAGGAAACATATCACTTAAGTATTCTAGTTCTCAATGAGATGCCCAGCTGGCGGTTGCATAGAACTTTTTGCATTTTGTAAAACATTGTACGTACCTTTTCCAGGCCTATTCTTATCTCTAGTGAGTGGTCCCAAGTTTCATAAAGATTACTTCCAAGGTAAGTTGTTCTTGTTACTCTTTCCAGATCTGTTCCGTCAACATTAACCTTCACCCTTCTGTTTTGGTGCTTGCTGATGACCATCGTTTTTGTCTTCTTTGTATTCAATTTTTATCCCAAATTCTCTACAGGCTGTCGTTACTCGGTCCATTAAGCGTTGCAGGGCTTCAGCATTATCTGCCAGTATAACAGTGTCATTATATTGGTAATATTAAATATCTGAGAACCTTCTTCTTCTTTTTTTCCTGACGCTACAACTACTCGTAAGTTTGGGGCATTTTGGCCTGCTTAACAATGTCCTTCCATTCTGCACTGTTGGTTACTTTTCTTCTCCAGTGCTTGATCTTCATAGTTTTAAGCTCCTTTTCTAGATCTTCCATTCATCTTTTGCTTGTTCTCCTTTTCTATTTTCTTCTTCTTCATGTGCCTTGTCCGTTCCTAACGTTGGCAATCAACATGGATATTCTGACTTTGTTTACGGCAGATCTGAATAGTTCAGCAGATGACAATCCGAACCATTGCCGCAAGTTTTGGAGCCACGAGTGTCTTCTCCTCCCTGGACCCCTTTTGCTGTCTATTTTCCCTTGAACGATCAGCTGTAGTACTATATATTTATTATGTCTCATAACATGACCCAAGTCTTGGACCCAAGTCTATTTTCTTGGAGCTTCCATTTTTGGATTACTTAACCGCTCCATTTTGTTGCATTATTTCTACATGACCAGACAGTTTAGTCTTTGTCACTTTAAATTTAACAATCTTTGCTCTTTGCATTAATTTTAATCTGTGGTATATTACAAAATTACTAGTCATAGTTTTCTATTCACTATCATTTGAATTCTGGAGTGGCATGATACTTCATAAACGAATATTCCTCTATCAAACATTCATTTCTATAAGATGTAAGGTAAGTACTTAAATACGCTAGGCAAAATTATAAAAATACCAATATACTCGTATTATTGAAACCATTAAGTTTATATATTTGCATGGTTATTTTACAACAAAAAAGCTTTTCGTCTAAGCTTGTAGTAAAAACGTTATGTTAACATTTTTATTTAAAGACCAAACAACAAACCCTCTAGTCCATGTAACAGCAAATCTGTAGTTATTATTTATTTATGAGGTAAAAAATGCAAAAACATTTTTTAGGGATAAGCAATTCAAATAAAAAGAAAATACAAGCAGCTCACACTTACATCTTCAGAGAAGCGACACATGTACCCAGATACGTCGCTAAACGCTTTTTGTTTAGAGAACTGCAACAAGTAAGAGCTATAGATAAAATAGCAGCAAAAGCTATAATAACGTTTGCAGAATTGGAGAATCATCCAAGCCCGATTCTGCGAGAGATAATAAGATATGATGTGTTCTATCGATGGAAGCACAAAAGACCAAAACAGAAAATCCTGGCAACCATATAAGTCTAGATAATTCGTAAAACTCCATTTAGCACCCCTTTTGGTGCTACCTGAGCCTTTAATGTTCGGTATCAGCTGTACCAACGCGTCCAGATTTCGCCTTCTCGACTGTCTTTTGCTTGTTTACTCCATACCTCAGTCCTTCTGATAGCCAGACTCCGAGATAATTAACCGATTTAACTGGTGCAACCTTCATCTCTTCCACTATAAAGTAAACTTTGAGAACTACCAGGAGATTTTCTAAGGTACTAGCTGTTGATCAGTGCTAGATCATCGGCATAAGCTACAAGAGTGCATCCTCTTGGCATCTGTAGCTTCAATACTCCGCCGTACAAGACATTCTACAGGGTGGGATCTAGTAACGAACCCTGCGGAACACTCTGCGACAATCTGATGCTAGTATCTTTTTCCCTTATAGACCTGCCAGTAAAGTATCTGTCAACCACGTTGATCAGGTACTCACGGACGACTAATTCTCTCAGCCTTGACATGATTTTTTCCTATGATACCATGTTAAAGGCATTCTTGACGTCAAGCAGGATGAGAGTCTCCCATCTTTTTGTATCCTGTGTGACTAAAGAGGTCACTTCTGTGGCAGCATCAATGGTGAACCTTTTGGCCCTCAAACCATATTGGCGGTCGCTCATGTTTTTCTTTCAGCCCTTTTATTTCAAGGCGGCCTTTTACATGCTGTCAGTACAATTTAGCTACCGAACTAAGAAGATAATTTGGCCGAAAGTGCAACTCTTCCTTGTCCCCTCTAACTTTGGGATAAGGACAACCTTAGCGGTTTTAAATTATCTGCCTGAGCTTTGACATGACTCTATGCCAGGTGTCTTTCGGATCTTCATCCGTCTAACATAACTAAGGCCTTGCAACAAACTGACTCAAAAATTTTATATTTTACCGTATCAAACTCTCCTAAAAAAATAATAACTACAAATTTGCTTTTGCATGAACTGGGGAATTGTTTTTGACATCGTCCTTTATATCACAGAATAGGTCTAAAAAATTCGCTGATTATTGCGCATCTCTTTACCCAAATCCTGAGCTGTTATTTCAGTAAGGTCAACCGACCAATGATAAATTCGTTTTTAAACAACTGACGATTTCTTAATACTAAGAACCCAATATATAGTTCTTCTTATTATATCTAACAAATAATACCTTTTTTGTCTCTGTTTCTATCTTCTGGGTTATTTGATCCACCGTTTCCATATCTAGGTGTCATAGAGGCAACTCTTACATATATACCAGGGAACATTACCGATATTATACTTTATTCTTAAATCTCTGGATATCTGTATTACTAGCTTTGATACAGTACTGGATTTGAATAACATACGACTCCACTGATATTAGTATTTGTTTATAAATAATAGTTTATTCTTCTTCTTCGCGTGCCATATCAGAATTATCCGACGTTGGCGATCACCATTGCGAAAGCTTCTCGATCTTCTGCAATATGGAATAATTGTCCAGCATTTGGTATCTGAGTCCATTCACGAATGTTTTTTAACCAAGAAACTGGTTTTCTTGTCACACCTCTACGGCCCTCTATTTTGCCTTTAAGGATTAGTTGTAATTTTTTATATCGACTTCCCCTTACTCTATGTCCCAAATAAGACAGTTTTCGATGTTTAACAGTCTTTAGCAGTTCTCTATCTTTGTTGACGCTCCTTAGTACTTCTTCATTAGTTTTTCTTGCTGTCCAAGGTATCTTCAGCATTCGTCTATGAACCCACACTTCCAATGCTTCAATTTTGTTCATGATCGATACTTTTAGCGTCCATGCTTCTGCACTATTCAAAAGTACGGACCAAACATAGCACTTAACCATTATTTGCCTTAGTTCTAAACTGATATGGATATTGCAAAGAAATGACTTCATTTTCATAAAACAAGTTTTGGTCATTGCTATTCTACGTTTTATTTCTATGTCTGGATCTAGTTGGTCCGTTATCACAGTTCCCAAAGTTTATTTTAATGCCCATTTCCTCTCCTACCTCGTGAATACTATAAAGCAGAATTTGAAGACCTTCAATATTATCTGATAGAATTATTTTATCGTCTGCATATCTAATCACATTAAGTAGTTCCCCGTTGATTTTTATTCCATATGGTTGTCTCTAAAGTGCCTTTTTAAATAACTGGTCCGAGTAAACATTGAACAATGTTGGCGACAAAATACAACCTTGTCTGACTCCCCGTTGTATGGGGATTTCATCGGTGTAGTTATCTCCAATTTTTACGATAGCAGTTTGATTCCGGTACAAATTTTTATACACGAATATCCTTGTCATCTATTTCGATATTTTTCAGTATTTGCATTAATTTTACATGCTGTACTTTATCGAATGCCTTTTCGAAGTCCACGAAACATGCAAATACATCTTTTCTTTGGTCACGGCATTTTTGTAATAGGATGTAAGCGCAAAAAGTGCCTACTTGGTTCCCATCGCATTTCTAAAACCAAATTGGGTATCTTCAAGATCTTCTTCGCATTTGCGTCTGATTCTGTTGTGAAGTGAGGAAAATTTTAAGAGTGTGGCTTATTAGACTAATTAGTCGATATTCGAGTATTTTCTCGCATTGTGTTTTTTACGTATTGTGACAAAGATGGATTTGAGCCAATCTGCGGGAATCACTCCGGTGTAATATATTGAATTAAAAAGTCTTTAGTAGTTTATTATGAATGAATAATTTAGATTTTCTCATAATTAGCCAATACATTTCGTCCAAAGCCAAGTTGTATTTTGTCCAAACTCTAAAATGTGATATGCACATACATAGTGACATAAACGCTCTGTTGCACCAACAAACTACGAGTATATCAGAAACCATCATTTATTTTTAAGATCTCTTATTTTTATATTTTTCTATTATATCAATTTTTCCATATTTTGTTTGTAGTATAAATCTTGTTTTTGAACTAAAATTGATAATATTTCTTTATTTGTATTATCGTTTATGAAGCTTAAATAATTTTTTTCAAAGAAGTTTTACATTGCCGATAATATTTATTGTAAAACAATTTGAGGAGCTCGCGTGCAAAACCGGATACATTCACTTTTTACATAAAATCACGTTTTGGTGGTTTCTGGGTCTAAGCCATGATATCTATAGGTCTACATATTGATTTGCAACCAAAACCATATGAATCCTTCAAAATCGTTAATTAAAGTTCGACCTTTGGAGCAAAACTGGTTATATCCAAATTTTGCAGGCAAAATCAGATATATCGAAATAAATAAGTCTGTGCGTATTCTGTTGCAATTTTAAGTTCATTACTGACATTGCTTTATGCTTAAGAAAAACCTGATAATAGCATGACCTTTTATTTTGTCCTTCAGCAAGTTCAACCGCTACCCCGAACACAATCGGGGATGCGTTTTATTCTCATTAAATTAGTTGGTATGCTTTTTGCTGCGTTCCTATGACGTCTCGTAATCCGATATTCTATGTTTGAACCGAAGATTTGGCTAGAAGAGGGGCCATTCAAATTGATTCTGCTTTATTTCATCATCTTCAAAGTTTGAATTATGAAGGAGTACATCTTCTCAGACTATTCTGCGATGTATGTGAAAGGCAGAATAAGAATTCACATATCATTCACACCCTAATATATAGGCTTAAAAATCAGATAATTTGACAGAAATAATCATTTCCAGTCCAAGGACATAGCCTTCTACCTGCGGACCGATCATTCGGTACAGTTGAGAAAATCTTGAAAAGATATCCAGTCATAACGTCTAAAGAAAAATACATAGAAATGTATTTGGAACTGGTTCGGTAAAAACACTTGGTTCTGACCGGCAAATGTATGATATTAAAGAACTGGAAAAAGTGTATAAGAAACTAAATGGAATTTCTGAATGCAAAAAAATTCACTTAAAAAAAATTGTGAATAAAAATAATGAAACTACTATTAAAGTAAAAATGTTTCAATTTTATCGGTTCACAGCATCGGTGACACAACTTGGGAGTCGCTTGTCAAGAAGGGAAAGTCAGAAAATATACGACTAAGCAGGTTACCATTGAGTAATTTAATACCAGATGAGAAGAAAAAAAGTTTGAATCATTTGATGAAAGAGCATTTTGATGAAGATTGGCGAAACGGAAGACCTTTTGTGGTACAAAAATTTATTAGACAGCAACGGAGAAGAAACGGTAGATATTTCGGAAAATAATGAAACCCAAAAAGATGGAGACAAGCTATGCGATTGCCCGCATGAAGAGACTGCAATACATATTTAAATTTGTTCGTTCTATTTTTGCAAATATTACTTTATCCAACTTGTTTTGTTTATTTAATGAAAAAATAAATAATTTTTTTTCGCTCACAATGTGTCATTTTGTGAGCAAAACCGGATATATCCAATGTTTTTTTTGCTAATAACGCCGAGTTGTTTAATTCTTTTATAAAATAATATACGTCATTCAGTTAGTAAACCCCAATAAATTGAAACTGTTTTCTCAAAATAATATAATTTTTTAAAATAAATATGTAGGGTATTTTTTTCATTTCCCGAAAAAACTTTAAAAGTGGATATATCCGGTTTTGTACGCGAGCTCCTCAATTTACCTAATGTTCTTTAGTTAGGAATGAATTGTAAATATTACTTATTTGGATGCCTCTTCACTCGAATACGAATACTGAACTATTCTTTGACGCCAATTATCCCTATTTTCTGCCGTTTGAATGCACTCATACACAGATATACCTGCCAATTGGATAATTATTTTTTATCTGCTGATTTATGTTGTACTTATTTACGTTACGTTACGTTTGTATTCGTTGCTTTAGACTCCAGATGGACGGAAAATGGATAATTGGTCTTTTAAAAATGAATAGTTTAAAATATTAATTATAAAAATATTACATGATCTTGTTTTTAATTAATTATTTGTGTCTATTAAAAGCTGCATTTAAAAATTCTTGTGTTTACGTTAAAAATTTGATTTTAATTTAAAAATTATTTTCAGAGATGGCACAAATTCAGAAGAGAGATGCAAAATTTTTCCATGTGGTTTATTCCATGGGAGTTAAAAATAAAAGAAATAGAATCCCATTTTGGGTCTGTTGTTGCTTCGTATTTTACATTTCTACGATGGTTATTTTGGGTAAACGTTGTTGTTTCCATTGTTTTAATTTCTTTCGTAACAATTCCAGAGGTAAGAAGTCGATTTACTTAAAGTTTTAGAGTTTTTTTTAATAAACCACTATTAAATATAAACATTATTAACACGGATACTTTTTTTATAATAATTGTAAGATTTTTAACTCTTTAATATTTTTTTTATGTGAAATATCTAATGCGGCGGGTTAGATGGAGAGTGTTCTGCAATAATAGTCTAAGCCACATATATATGGATTCGAGTAAATGAGCATAATGTATCTACCTACGTTATAAAATTAACTGATAGAAAATAAGGCTTTATTTTCACATTTTTATATTTCAATAATTACAGGCTACCTTAAAAAACGTACAAAAGCAAAATAAGTAATAACAGTTTTTTGCAAAATAACTTAAAGCGGCTTAGACGGTTTTTGCAAAATGGTAAAAATATAGTTCGTCATTTTGCAATAACCGTCTAACCCTCCAAAATAATAAATACACAGAAAAAACTTCGAAACCGAGTTCATTACAAATAGTAAGTACCTGTTACTGTTTAATTTCTACTCGATTTGATCTTGGTCAATCTCGAAATCGGGATTTAACCCAATTCCTTCCAAATCTTCTTCAAAATTTTCATAGCTGATGTTGTCCAAAAATCCATAAAAAGGCATGGCATCTTGGGGAATTAACTTAGACAAATCTTTAAGGTCCTTAATTTTTTCAGCGGACAGTGATTTGCCATTTGGCCACAAGGGAGGCAACTCTACATTCTTTAAAACAGGTTTTCGACCTTTACCTGATTTTTTCAATATTTACCTCCGAAAATTGTTGATCTCTCACATGTTTTTTCATGTACAAAATTGTGGGATTTTCCTTTGTAATATGTATTACATGTGTTTTTAGCCAATTAATAACATCCTTATTTATATCTGTTTTGCGATTTGTTATGGATTGTAGCAAAAGACTAACTGAAACCATTTCTTCAGATCTTAGACGGTTTACAACAAATTTATTTTTTACTCGGCAAGATCTCATTATTTCTATGTAATCGTTGTCAGTGTACAGTCTTTGATGAGTTTTAAGAGCGCATTCGACATCTCCGAAATGTGAATCATTAGGCAGGAAACTGTGGCCAGAAAGTAAAAATTTTAACGAAATGGATTCAAGAGACGTTTGAAGTATGTGAATAAGCATTAACACTAGCTTAATACTTCTATTCTGCCCCCCACAAGAATCACACCATAGAATTAATTTCTTTACGGGTGCCTTTATATTTTCATTAATATATTTACGCAGACATGAACCGACTTCTTGTGTTCCCCTGCCTGCCTCTTGCTCTGTCCATACATTGAAAATACCTCTTTTTGTACTGCCGACATAAATACCTAAATTAAGTAAATTTAATTGTCTTTTATAATATGCAACTCCAGTCGGTATTTTTGGTAAAGGATGAGTTTTTTGGAGATCAAATGTCAGGGTCTCCAGTGTTTCATCTTCTTGCGCGCATATTAGATCAGCCTTCATTTCACTCCTTAACTCATTTGCAATTTCAAGATGTTCCCTGTGATTTCTTTTTAAATTCTCCTTGTGTGTAGCCTGTGCAGAACTAATTTGGGCTTTGTACGTATCACAAATTCGACATGTATCCTTATGTGGTGTCTTAAACTTTAAATTAAAATTTGAATAAAAGACGCTTTTATACTTCGTAAGACTTACTGGGTTTTCTGTAGTGTCTGTGTAGAACTGATACATTTTTGATAAATTCAGGTCAGGATTTAAAAATTTGGAGTCCGTCTGATTGCGACAATAATGTGACACATATGTTGGAAATGACGCTATGTGCATCTTAATATTTTCAATTCTTTCTTCATCAATTGCATTTTTTCCACCACTATGTATACCCCTTTTATCTTTAATAATATTACTTTTTATTTGATCTAAGGCTACGCGGACTCTATTATGGCTGATCTGAAGTGTATTTAAAAAGGTTTCTTTGCAAACGAGATTGCCATCTATAAAGTATTTTCTTGACTTACTTCTTCTTGACGTTTGGTTTTTTGTGTAACATCTTTTCTTGTTGCTCTCTTCAACATATTTGCTAAGTAAAGCACAGCGCCCTTCAAATGTTCCTATACTCCAAAATTGGTCAAAAAATCTTCTTCTCGTTTCAACATTTACAATATTGTGACATTTTCTTGAACATGGATAAGAGTAATCTTCAGTAAACTTTTTAGGTAATACAGTTTTGTTTCTTGCCGAAACATATTTTTGGTTACAATTTGCAAACTTTTTTCTGTCTGGTCTTGATTGATTTAGTGTTTTCCTTGATCTTCCGCGTTTCTTTCTGCCATCATTTTTTGTTATATTTAAATAGATTTCCATATCCTCTTGGTCTCTCGTTTCTTCTGCAGAATCAGTTTCCTCGGATTCAGGAAAATATTCACTGCTAGAGGACTGGTATGGCTCATAAAAATCCATTTTAGCAGATATATTTTTCTGAGTGCTACAGGAACTACTTGTTTCTTGTTCTCGAGGATCAGGGGTCAAAGTTTGTTGAAATTTTTGAATTCCCAGGTTCGCTAATAGCTTTCCTCTTGAAATATCCATCGTCTAAAATAAAATTAGAGTATTAGGCACTCACTTAAAACATCCAGTTTTAATATGTTATTACGAAGTAAAAATGTTACATTTATAAAACATTTTTTACAAATGCAATAAAAAATAAATTTTGTGTTATAGTGCAGTTAGCAAAAAAGGTCTAACCCGACTATACGACTAACGTAGCTAATGTTAAACTTGATATATTTACATTTCTGTATGTGCAAGTATTATAATATGAGCAGCTATCCATCCTATACATCCAAATTAGTTTAATTGCCGTTTGCTGTTAATATTAAATAAAAGGTTTTAATAAATAAAAATTTATATCTACTGTGAAATTTTAAGTCAAAATAAGTTTATACGTACCTCGAATAATAAAAATTATAGTCACTGAAGTAAGAACACCAAGTTTGTGGTATTTTGCTTTAAAATATTACACCCAATAATAACAACCTACTGCACTCGTAAAGTTTAAAACAGTATGTTGAAATATCAAACTCCTTTGTTAAAAAGGCATGTAATAATTTGCTGACCAGAATTTTCACAATCAAGCAACAGTTCCAATATGTTCGTTATATGATAATGCAATTTTTTGTCGGCATTTATGACATCAATATACGAGTAATCGCAAAACATATTATGTTACCTTTTCGGTACACTATCTGTGATAAAAGGAATTTAAAAATGTCTTTAATCAATTTCCGAGCTGACGACACAGAAAATTCACAGTTTTAAATAATATACTTTCGTATTTTACCATTAAAGATAAGGCCTCTAGTTTGGTGCAATTTTATTTATTTAAATAAAATTGTACTATTAGTGTAATAATAAATTTCTTGTCTTTTAATAAGACGAGTCTAAGTCAAAATAAATATTTGTTTATTAATTTAATATTTTGTATCTGGTGCACACAATGAAAAGACCCTTACAAAGATTTGCAACAAAAGTCTAACCCACATATTTATAATGAAAACATGGGTTAGACTATTTTTACAAATTTCTGTTTTCATATTATTTGACGAAAGTGGTTTAGAACTTAGTTCACAAACGCATCCATGAGTATAAATATGGCTTATATCATTTTTGCTTGATGTAGTATGCATTATGATCGACAATTTGGCACGTCTAACCTCATTTGTAAACAAATGTGGGTTAGACGGTTGTTGCAAAACACCGTCCAAGATCGTCTGCTATTTTGTAATGCTAAAGGTTGGCCACACTTGTAACTCTTTGATTTCATGTAGCGTTTGTGGTATTGTTGCTCCTTGGAATACGTTGCCTGTTTTTTATTTAATTGAAAGATATAATAGTAACAATAAGATATGAGTGAATTTACCAACGAAACTGCTGACAATTTTTTTGGAAATGTTAAATCGCTACGTAATTTTAAAATAAAGAATATACCTACTATTGTTTTTCTTTGTATAAAACTGAATAGGTAATCTATTTCATGAATATTTTCAATACAAAATAGTTTATATTTTATATCTGCCAATGAGAATAATAATTAAAAAATACTTGTTCAAAATGCTGGCAAAAGTTCATATGCTACCAATGTTGAACCCTCTTCATTTACATACTAGTCTAATAAGAGTAAAAACGTTAACTTGCGTCTTAAGTTGTTTTGTAGTAAAACAATCTAGTAAGAAATAAGAAAGTACTATTTCGTAGGTAACTGTTAACCAACCAATTCAAAGTAATAAGTTGTAGAAGAAAGATAATTCATTTAGGTAAGTGAAAAATATCGTATTGAAATAAAACTGATCATTATGATTATCGAAATATTAATGAACACACTATCAGAAGAAAGTCACAGACTAGTTTTGGATATTAATCTTTCCAAAACCAAAATCATGGTATTCCACAAGAACCCCCATGAACAAATTACACCCAACATACAAATCAATGGTATCACCCTTCAGAGCTCCCAAAGCTTCATATACCTGGGCGGAGAGCTAAACAGTCAGCTAGACCACTCAAAAGAAATTAGAAGACGTATTTAAATAGCAAGATCTGGCTTCATGAACATGCGTAAAATGCTCTGTAACCCCAAGCTATCAATCACAATAAGGTTAAGAACACTAAAGTGTTATGTGTGGTCTCTACTACTATATGGCTGTAAGACCTGGACATTAAAACAGTATAACGTCAACAAACTGAATTCATTCGAAATGTGGATGTACCGCCGAATGCTAAGAATAAGCTGGACCAGCAAAACTACAAATGAAGAGGTACTGGAAATAATGAACACACGACCTCATCTGGTTAACACAATCAAAATTAGAAAGACGTCTTATCTAGGACACATAATGCGCCATAAGGAATTTGAGCAGCTCCAGGTAATATTAGAAGGCAAAATCGAGGGTAAAAGGGGTATAGGAAGAAAGAAGAAATCCTGGCTCCGAAACATCAGAGATTGGACTCACACAACAGGAAATGACTTAATCCATTAAG